TCAGCAATTTAAAAAGTAATCACAGTTCATACACGCTCGATAGTATAGACGTGGATTTTAGCTGCCACACTATGGCGAGTGGATAGTGCCACGGATAACCGAACGAAGGAGACAGTCGTGTACTCGCCATACCACACACACACAAAAACACACACACACCTCCGGATGACAACGCTCCCTCTTCCGCCCGCACCCGCCAGGTTTTAGCCTGAGAACCCGCTCCGTTTTCTGCCCGCCGCGCCCGGTCCCGCTAGAGCGGAGAACACAACCAAAAATCACCCAGTATACAGTCCAGACAGCCAAGCTGTCTGTATAAACACACACACACAGCACAAAGCACACAAAGCTCGTTCGTTCGTTCGCTCTCTCTCTCTCTCATACGCGCGCGTGCGCACTAACACACACACAAGCACCACGCAGACTCTCTCTTTCTAATTCGCATAGCAATATCCGTGATATTGCTAGACACCCCGCTCCCGTCCCAAATTAAACCTGTTACCGACCGCTCCCGCGATTTATTCGGAAATTTATTCCCGCGGCTGTCCCCGCGCCAGATTTCTGCGGCGCGGGAATAAATTTCCGAATAAATCGCGGGAGCGGAACTCTAGCACGGAGCTCCATAAACAAACAGCACGCGTCGCGTTTTTAACGTGACTTTGCACGCGATAAGATAAAATATCCAGTTAACCTGATACAGTACACGCGGTTACAAGTAACAAATCACAACTAAATATATTTGCAAGCTAGAGTAAACGAGGCAACAACTTTAACCGCACGTACTTACACTTGAGAAATGGAAGAAACCCATCCTGACGTCCATCAGTTACTCTTTACTGATCCTTCCTTTAACAAACTCAGATGAAGTATTCTTTGTAGCATGTAGCTTCCAGAAGTTTCCAACTGCTTGGTTATAATGCTGAGGTTTCATCTTTGGGTAGAGACTCAATATATCCATCTGCAGTGTGACTTCAATCGACCGGCATGTTTGTGTGCGTGTGTTTGTGGGTGTGCGTGTGTTTGTGGGTGGGTGTGTGTGTCTGCGTTAATGCGTCAGAGGGCAGGGCCTCAGGTTTGAAATCTCCCGGGTTTGCGCGTGCACGTGAATAACTTGGTTTCGTTCGTACGTCATGGCGAAACACCTAATGAGTCGGTATCAAGGCGACTCGTTTGAAGCACTATGAGTCGACTCTTTTATAGATGAATCAACCGTTTTAAACACTGTATTCTTACAGATTTAAGCCTTAGCTGGATACTTCACTTCACTTAGAGCTGTGTTACACACTACATGGAGGGGAATTTTCAAAAATCCATAATATGGGCTCTTTAATAGCCAGCGTGCAGAGCAGCTTTTTTCAGAAGTAAAGAAAAACAACTACTTCATGAATATGTTAAGACCAGCAGCACACATCTTTCTGGCACGAAATATTCTCCACCACCAGAATCTTGTACATAACCAAAAGAAAATAGAACATTTTAATAAATTGTTCCATGGCAACCGTACTTTGGAATCTGATTTTAATGGTAAGGTCATAATTTTTTTAAATATTCTTCGTACTTGTGTAAATATTTTATTAAAGTTTTAATGACTACCTCATAGGGCCACATAGTTAACAGCATTTAACCTTTTTTTTCTTATTATTTTTGTTTGTCTTAGCCCACAGTTTCACGGACAAGCACGTGTTTTCTGACTTGGAGATTGTACCTGATCATGAGCCAGTGCTAAATAATATGCCAATAATTAGTGAGTTTTTCCTTAAAACAAGCAAAATAATCTTACGTCAAAAGAAAAAAACAAGATTATTTTGCTTACCCCATTGGCAGATTATTTTGCTTGTTTTAAGGAAAAACTCACTAATTATTGGCATATTATTTCTCAAAACAAGAAAATATGTTTTGCTTATCTAGAAATTGCCTCTTGATATAAGAAATTTTAGATATTTAGACTAGAAACAAGACAAAAAATCTAAGCAAGAAAAGCATTTTTTGCAGTGTACCTTTTATACATATGCATCAACTGTTTTTCAATCTAAAGGCACACTTCCACCCTCTGTTAAGACTGATAAGAGATCCTTAGTGAACCAACACAACAACTGTAAGAATTTAAATTGTTTATATTTTTTCTTTCATATTGGTTGTCATTTTAAATGGGGTGTTGTTGCTAATTATTTTAATTTTATATATTTTGTAGTGCCTGTTCAAACCTCCACTGGGAGTATTTTCACTCTGGAATGTGTGCAGCCAAACAAGGCATGCTGGACCCAGCCACCCAGTCCAGTCCAGCTGGCGAAGGTTAGATTTATATATCATGAAACATGTTTATTCATTAGACGATCATTAAAAATACTTTAACTAAAATGCATAAAGATGAACAGTGAGAAAGATATTGTATTGCAGAATATTATAGTATGTTCTCTTCATAGTTAAACCATGCCTTACTGGAGAGAGGGCCAAAAGATGAATTCCTAGCATCTGTTGGAGGAACAGTCCTCACAAGGTTGGATTTCCAAACATTGGGACTACTTCAAGATGTAGAGGCGACAGTAAGATTCTGCAAACACATTTTGGTATATTAATACCTTAACCCAAGTAGTAGAATAAATTTATCCTTGAATGATTACAGATTTTAAATGCTTGCCTTTCTGTAATAAAGGATGTTGCTGGCCTTCAGGTAATGCAAAGAATGACCTACACCAAAAAGCTCTTTATTTAATGTAAAGGATTGTATCTGCTTGTTTAATTGTATTTTAATTTATTTTCACTTAACAGGGTATAACAGTCCATGTATTCAGTCCATATGTGACAGTGACTTGGTTGCCTCCAATGTGTGGTGACCCACTGTCTAATGCTCCTGTGAGTGTTATTGTGTGATTTTTGTTACTGAGGCAGTGTAGAATAAGTCATTTAGTGTTTGTGTTGTAAATACTACATTTCTTTAAAAATTCTTATGATTTTGTTTAAGGAAAATCTGGCAAGTCATGACATCATTTTACTACCTTCTTGGACAAGCATTCACTGGATGATCGATGTCTGTGACAATATAATACATAATGTCAAGTAAATAAATAGAAAATATTAAACTGTTCCACTTATTTTAAATATAAAACCTGAAAAGGATTCAGTTCATGAAATGTAATGTTAAAGTTGCACTGTCATAGATCATGAAGAAAAAAAAAGGGAGATCTATTGGCTTGATTCCCTCTCTGGACGGAGCTTCAATGATACACGCTACTTGAGCAGTTATTGGTTTATGAGTGAAAAGTTAAGAATTCGGGATAATAGTAGTTCTGTTTTAAACCACATGTCCCTGTTTTTTTTCTGTTTTTTTTTCACTTTTTTCCTCTTTGTTCTGATTTATCTATCTTTATATGTTCATTGATATTATTTTAATCAGTCCCATCTAAATGTCTGACGGACTGTAGGCCCTGTGATATGAGAGCTTTCAATTTAAATGTTTAATGTTTTGTATGATTGTTTCTTTTAATATTGTTCTCTACAGAAAACTAGCACACCATGTATGTTTAGACACATGGGATGAGTACAGTGCTGATTCCAGAAATTCCAGTAAGCATCACCCATAAACATTGTTCCTTAACTACTTAATGTTTTCACTTTATTATTATTTTTTTTTACTAATTGTTGTTGTTAATAGTGGTGTTCTTTTTGTTTTTTTGTATTACCAGGGCATTCCCAAACAACATTGCTCAAATAACTGTGGAGTGTTTGTGTTGATGGTAAGTAATTAAAAAAAAAAGTTTCTTCAAAAACTTAATGTTTGCATATGCTGTTTTTTTGCTTGGAATCATTACAAAACGAATATGCTATTTTAGTATGCAACTGTACATCTGCTCTAATGTGCTGTTTATTTATACAATTTATTTGTAGTAATGTGGGAGTTTTCACATGAACATATCTTTAAAGGCAACCAGTTGTCTACAGAAAGTTTAATTGTCTTCAAAAAGGAAACTTGTTTCTTTTCTCAAATTATTCAATCAAAACAAATGTGTTTTGAAACCAAAGTCCTTATTTGTTACCCACAACACATCAAGATTTGATCAAGTCAAAATTTCATAATCTGACTCAAATGTACATATAGATTATAAGATTTAGGTGAGGATTGAAGCCAGGTCTCTTGGACTCAAAGCTGGGGCTTTTCCCAGCTGAGCTAACTCCTCAACTTATGAACCCAAGAGCAGAAAATTAATAATGGAACTTGAGGCATTTAGTTTTAGAAAAAAACAAACAACTGATCTTTACTTGAAAAAAAGAATACAAAGTACAACAGAAATGACTGAAGCTGAGCTTCCAGTAAACAGGCAAAACAAATCTGACAAAAAAACACAACAATAAAGTGTCATTTAGCTTCTCAAGAGAATCAGGAGAACAATAATGGCTGAAGACTGAACACACGAGGGGCGAGGCAATGGCACAGTAGGTAGTGCTGTCGCCTCAGAGCAAGAAGGTTGCTGTTTCGAACCTCTGCTCAGTTGGTGTTTCTGTGTGGCCTTTGCGTGGGTTTCCTCTGGGTGCTCCGGTTTCCCCCACAGTCCAAAGACATGTGGTACAGGTGAATTGGGTAGGCTAAATTGTCCGTAGTGTATGAGTGTGTGTGTGTGTGGATGTTTCCCAGAGATGGATTGTGGCTGGAAGGGCATCTGCTGTGTAAAAAAACTTGCTGGATAAATTGGCGGTTTATTTCGCTATGGCGACCCTGGATTAATAAAGGGATTAAGCCGACAAGAAAATGAATGAATTAACACTAGCTTGTTACACACAAACTTTGATAGGGCAAAACACAAGTGTTGCTAATCTAGCTTGAGTGGTGGCACACAGCAGATGGTGGGAAAGTGGTGCCATCCAATGTTCTGGAAGGTGTGTAGAAATTGGATACTGGTGTGTGAAAGGTCAGGAGCACCTCCCTCTGTTTAGAAGGAGAAATGCAGCTCAATAAATTCTTACATTGATGACTCTAAAACATGAAATAAGTAAGCTGACCAAAGTTCTTACGAAGAGAAGAGTTTATCAAATAAATAATGTGTTGTTGAATGTTCAGTTTACTTGGGTCATGTGTATTTGGGCTTTGGGGGGAACATGGGGGAAACCCATGTGAGCACAGGGGAAAACGAGCAAACTTCACACAAATGTCAACTGGTTCAGAGGGACTTTAACCTGTGAAATTCTTGCTGTGAGGCAACAGTGCTAACTACCAGGTCTCTGTGTCACCCAATCTAGAAAGGAGGGTGAGTAGGAGGATTCTTCAAGAAGAAGATAACTGAGGTAAAAAAAAAAAACTCTAGTTATTTGTATTGAGTTGTGTTAGCTAATGCAGGACCAGCCGTGAACAATCATAAGCATGTGATCCTCTTGAAAGTAGCTCATAAATAAACCTCACTAAATGAACAGAAAAACTACATGAACAAGCTGCCGTTTTGAATATACCCGTGTTTGTGTGGACAAGGGCTCATTTTTGAGGACTCTGCTCTCCATTGTGAAGCTTCATATGAGTGTTGAGGCTTCTTTTATGTTTAAAGTCTTTTCCACATTTACTGCATCTAAAACACTCTACTGAATGAGTCTTCATGTGGTTCTTAATGGAGTCTTTGTGTGTGAGACTCTTTCCACACTGATCACATCTGAACACTATGGTTCCAGTGTGACCATTCATGTGGTTCATGAGGTTAGCTTTGGTTGTGAAGCTCTTTCCACACTGAACACATGCAAACGGCTTCTCTCCTGTGTGACTTATCATGTGGTGTTTGAGTGTGCTTTTATATGGAAAACCTTTACCACACTCTGTGCATTTGTATGGTTTTTCTCCAGTGTGAATCCTCATGTGGATTCCAAGGTCTTGCTTTTGAGAAAAACTTTTCCCACACTGTGTGCAAGTAAATCTTCTCTCTCCAGTGTGTGTTCTCATGTGGATTTTAAGGGTGACATTTTGCTTAAAACTCTTTCCACACTGAGAGCAAGAGTAAGGTTCCTCCCCGGTGTGAATTCTCATGTGTACTGCCAGGTTTCCTGTATTATAGAAGCTTTTTCCACATTGTTGGCATGTGTACTTTCTCTCCCCAGTGTGAATTCTCTTGTGTGCTGCAAAGTTTCCTACATGATTGAATCTTTTTCCACATTGTTGACATGTGTACGGCCTCTCTCCAGTGTGAATTCTCATGTGGGTTTTAAAGCTTTGTTTTTGACTAAAACTCTTTCCACACTGTTCGCAGGTGTAAGGTTTCCCCCCTGTGTGAACTCTCATGTGAACATCAAGCTTTGGCTTTTGACTGAAACTTTTTCTACACTGTTTACAGCTGAAATTACATCCAGATTTGGATTTCCGAGGTCTTCCACGTGATGAAGTCTTTTTAGTCAGTGTGGGTTTTTCATCAGTCGTTATGTCTTGGTGTTTCTCAAACTGCTGTTTCTCTTCCATTACATTCTGATGAAGAGTCTCTTCTTTCAGCACCATCAGGTCTTTAAAAGAAAAAAAAGTTAACTTTAGTATGAAGGCTCAAAGCGAGAAGCATGAGATGGATGTTTCACCCACAAATGAAAATGACAGGCTGCAGGCGATTGCCAATGCTATTAATTATGTTATTATGTTAATGTTATTATCAGTCAAAACTCATTTCACACGGCATGATTTGAATTGCCAACAGCTCCAGATATTTAGCATGCCAAATATCTAACAGGCATTGGCGATTCTCTCAGATGGCATCTTTAGTTCATACTGTGTGATTTTCACTCAAGTGAATGGGCACCAATTTGCCTGTGATGTCAGGCATTTGTCGGCAATTTCTCAAAACCTGTTGGCAAGTAAAAATCAGGGCTAAAATCATGCAGTCAGAACTAAGCATAAGCAGAAGGAAAATTAATGAATTAACATACAAATTCTAAATGCCACGTTTGCTGTAAACTGGAGTGATGAGGAGATGGCAAGATGACATACTTTGTTACTTGTTTTCATTTATTTGTACTTTTGTCTTTGTTTTCTTGCATTTGTGCATCTCCTGAGGCTTAGCTGAAGACCAACGTGGTGACATTTTATATACCTGTCAAGATGCAGAAATGCCATCTAAAAAGGCATCTTTGGTTATCTTTTCTGCTGGAGATACTATTGTCCTAAAAAACGTTAAAAAAAAAAACAACTTACATATAAAACCGCCAAATGGTATTTGTTGAAAATAGTTATCGTCCCATGCCAAAGCATTTATTTAAAAAACTCTCAAGCAAAAATATTTTAATGGCGGCGCCTGCTAGTATGTGAAGAATATGGTCAATACTGACGAACTTTACACTCAAATTTTTGCATATAATCAGCATGCTGTAATCTCTACTAGTTTGTTGGCCAGTTGTAGTCAGTGCAATGCTAAATGTTATTGTTATACTATAATTTGTCTCACGTCGTTTCACAACATAATATAGTTTACAATACTGTACAATGCTTCATAACAATGAATCATTTTAGTGTCTATTTCATTCAGCATCTTTACAATTAGGGGCATCCAGGTTTTTTGACATACTTTAAACCAGGGTTTCTGCAGGTTTCACCAAGTTAAATGTAAGACTTTTAAAGACATTTTAAGACAATTATGAATGGAATTTTAGACTCATAAAGGGCTACAGGTTAAGGAATTTTTCAATGAACCAGATTTAGTTTTGTCCTATCAAAAATATATAATTTAATACATTCAATAATACAATAATAAATAAATAAATAAATAAATAAATAATTTAATATTTTAGACATTTCTGAGCAAAACTTTTATCCATAAACTTTGGATTCAGATTGGATAGCAGAACATGAACAAAGGAAAATGAAGACTTGCTTAAAAAAAACATCTGAGACCTACAACTAGGGCTGCACGGTTTATTGTATATTTATCATGATAATGATTTTTGGGATCCACGATCAGTAAATATCGTCGCGATTTGCTGTATAAAGACAAAGCTGTTTTTTAATGGGCGGAGTTTACAGTTTGGACTGCTGCTGCATCACAAGCATGATGTAACTGCGCATAGATTGCAAGCGCGCTCACTCTGAAGTGGCTTGGCATCACAAGATTACAGTGATTTGGAGTGAATACAATGGCAGTGCAGCGTGAAGTAAGTGCAGAAGTACAATCGTTAGTCCCCAAAAAGGGGTCATACTCCATTGTCTAAAACTATTTCGGTTTCGAGGAATGGGTCATTGAGCAGCTACGAGTCTTGTGCTAACTCTGCTCATGTTCTGTTCATGAGTCCGTACGTCTCAAGGCAACACAACTAACCTAATAAAGCATCTTAAAAGCCACCACAAAGTACAATATCAAGAATTTCAACGACTGAAGACACAAACCGCATCCACAAAGAATTCCCGACCCTCCACAACACAGGCAACAATATTAGGCACAGTGTTTATGTCATGTAATGTGTATTTATGTAGCGCATTTACAGTGTATGGCCATACACCCAAAGAGCCTTACAATCATGAGGGGGGTCTCTCCACACCACCACCAGTGTGCAGCATCCACTTGCATGATGCGACAGCAGCCACAGGACAACGACATCAGTGCGCTCACCACACACCAGCTATTGATGGAGATAATGCAATACCATATCCATCTAGCTCGCAAAGAAACAAGGAAATAGCTAAGGCGATCGTGTTCCACTTAGCCAAGAACATGTGTCCAATAACTACAGTGAACAGTTAGGGGTTTAAAATAATGATCACTACACTTGACAAAAGATACAGCCTTCCATCAAGCTATCATTTTTCTAATGTTGTGCTACCCTGGATGTATACGAAATGCTGCCAAAAAATAGAACGAGAAATTCGCACCATCGAATATTTTGATGCCATGACGGACTTATGGTCAAGTAGAACTGCAGGACTGTATTTGAGCTTGACCGTTCATTTTATGGACAGCGAGTTTGAAATGAAAAGCAAGCTTTTGCAAACTTCATTTTTTCCCGCAAGACCTTACAGCAGAGTTTATTGCCACAGGCCTCAAAGAAGCGATCTAAGCATGGGGCTTGTTGGAGGAAAGACTTGTATGCATTACATCGGACAATGCAGTTAACATGATTAGAGCAGCATCTGTGAATAACTGGAGGAGACTGCTCTGCTTTGGTCACAGACTGCATTTAGCCATTGGTAAGTTCCCCCCCAGATACACTGAAACTATTTGAAAATACACTCTTTCTTTCATTTCTTTTTTTTCTTTCTTTATTCACTAATTTATTTTTCAATGACACATTCAGCAAATTATGCATAATATTTATTCTGCTAATATATCAAATTTGAAAAATTTTAAGTCAAATACCATTATGTTAATGTATGTGAACCCAGAGTAATTTAGAATAAGTTATTGTTTAATAATAAGGATTGATAACTGCTTTATATATAATTTAGGCCTAAAGAATTCCTGTCTTTCAATGAGTGCTTATGTGTATTTAGGAGAACTAGGCTGCACACTCAGGGCTGCAAGATGGATTTAATTTAGTATTCTTATTATTAAAATATATATCTGAATAAGGATCAGAGGACTGAGTTGGTGTTTGAGAATGAAAATCAACCTGTTTGTTCCTGCAGATCTTCCTGTTTGACTGTGAATGTTTCTTCAATCTTCACATCTTCACTCTCCTCTTTAATAAACGCCATCTTTATAACAGTGTGGAGATTAGTCGCTTCAGCAGGAGTTTTTCTCAGTGTTTGGACACTTTATTCTGCTTAAAATGAACAAAAAAATAAAAATGTCCTGTTTAAAATAAATAAAACAATGATCAGAATCAAAACAACTTCTCTTCAACAGTTTATTTATATGAGAGTGATTAACAAAAACAAGAAATCAGGTAAAAGAGTGAGTCCGAGCAAGACACAATGAGCAGACTAAAACTAGTACTCCATTTATTATATATAGTGTTGTATATTTAGAATGGAATGACATTTTGGTATTTAATCAAGTAACCTTCATTAAAACACTTAATAGACTTTTCTTTTGCTTTACTATAGTGCTACGTTGTATAAAGGGTTAAATTAATATCGTCAACAGCAGGTACATAATTTAGCATCGGAAGAAAAAAAAACTTTAACTTTAAACAATCAGTTTATAAAAGTGTATAAGATTGAAAACAAACCTTCCTCCAGTTGAAACACAGCGCAAAAGCGGCGCCGCCTTATGACGTCACAGCACAACGCCAAAATAAGAGTCTTTTTTTTGTTCAGCTTTTTTTGCCACTAACTGTCATGAGTCATGAATGACTTATTGATAAATTTCACCGTTTTTTACTTTACACTTTATCAGCTCTCTCTCACATAGACACACAGAAATATTTAGTATTTGAAGCTGATCAAAACATTTTTAAGACAATTTTGAAAAACCTTTTTAATTCACTTCATGATTACTTGCATGTCTACATTACACATTACTAAATCTCATCTTTGATTAAGACCTCATGTTTTCTATTTCTACAACTTCCTTCGAGTTTATTTTTTTTCATATGAATTTTCGTCTCTTATTATCTGTATTCCACATTTCTTGTCATTTTTATCTTCTGGAATAATATTTAACTTTACCATAAGCATATAAAGGGGTAGTTCACAAAAATTACAGTTCTGTCATTTACTCATCCTCTTGTTTCAAACCTGTTTGAGTTTCTTCTCCTGAATGCAAATGAAGATATACTGAAGAATACATGGGGCAAAAATGTCTTCACACAAGTAATCAACATTTTAGTTTCTGCCTGACTGCTTGAGTCCATAAAGTGATTATTTTAAATTTTCACACCAGTTTCTCTTTTCTTTCAGATTTTACCTCATAACTAGAACCAAACAGAATCTGCAGACTTTTTTTTGCTATTTCTTCTGAGATTTTTGTAAAAAAAAAAAAAAAAAATCTGCGGATTTATGTGGTTTTATCTTGGGAGTATCTTAACAAAAAAATTTTTACAATGCAAATCCATCTTGATCCACTTGTTTGGTAAACAAAGCAAGTCTCTTCTATAATATCTCTACTAAAAGACAGAAAATATTACTTTACACACTGTATTGAAGATAAATCAAACAAACACTTTCATATTAGTTATTATTACTGAAATTAATTTAAAAAACTGAAAATAATTTTAATTTACACACATTTATACAAGTAAATAAATAAACTCGATGGGCTAAAATTCTGTGGATTTCTGTGCACACAGATTTTATGTGGGCCTACTCATAACCTTCTGGCGTTTCTATAAAAAATGTCACATTCTATTGGTGCATATAAATATGCTGCTTTTACATCCATCAGGTGAGCAATCAGGGGCAATGCGGTGGCCCATGGATAGCACGTTCCCCTCACAGCAAGAAGGTCAATGGTTTGAGCCTCGGCTGGGTCGGTTGGCATTTCTGTGTCCAAAGACATGGCATAAGTCCAAAGACATGTGGTATGGGTGAATTGGGTAAAAGCTCAAATTGACTGTAGTGTGAGTTTGTGTGTGAGTGGATGTTTCCCAAGGATGGGTTACAGCTGGGAGGGCCTTTGCTGTGTAAAACATGTGCTGGATAAGTGGGCGGCTCATTCCGCTGTGGTGACCCCAGATTAATAAAGAGACTAAGCCGAAAAGAAAATGAATAAATGGTGAACAATCAGATTTTCTTGCACAGCTTTTGCATGAACACTCTTATACTAGTCATGTTAGCAGTTGGAGAAAAAATCTTTTCATAGTTCACACCTTTTTGCTGGCTGTACCATTTGGCAAAATACCATGTTTTGTATTTGTCAGACCATCACTATTTTTCTCAATTGTATAAAACAGTTTACCCCCTTTTTCTTTGCCTTTAGTTAGGTTGGTAAGAGTAAAGGTTACAATTTCTTTTAACGATTGCATGTCTTCATTCATAGCTTTAACCCATGTGAGCGACAGTTCATGTGTTCATATAAACTGTGTCGCTCACATGCTGCAGAGAAGTGTCACAGTGAGTCTTGCTGACAGCGGCTTGGTAAATGCATTGGTCAAGGCTCACAAAGTTGTCATTTTAATTACAATTATATTACAAATAAATAAAAGTATTATCATTATTATAGCACTATTATTATTATTATTCACATATTATTTTAAATGAATAACATAAATCAATCAGTGATATAAGATCTTATAAAAAATCTTTTGCATGAATTTTAATTTCACATGAGAAATCTAGAGAACACAAAATAATAATGTATAGAATTATCTCTGACTCTGATAGCAGAGAAATAATGACAACCCACTTCCAGCCCAAATAAACCTTAAATTTGGTCTTTGTTTCAACAGCAGGTCCTATTGTGCTGAGACTAGCTTTTCCCCACAATTTCAGTCCACATAAAACTTGTTTATGGAACAATTATTTTATTTTATATCAAAATAAGTCTTTATTTTAGGATTTTTTTTTTCTTTATTGGATAGGAAGAATAGCCATGGCTTAAAACATGTTTTTTTTTTTGTTTTGTTTTTTGTCATCCTAAATAGTTTTACACAATTGCTAATGTTATTCCTAAAAACATCATAGTATTGATCAGAGGTTTTCTTTTACACTATTCTGTAATGTTTTCTCTTTTATCTCTGTTTTTGGTCACTTTATGTTTTAGAGATCCAAAATGTAGTAAGTTTTTAAGGATTGTTTTTTATTTAAAGGCTTAATCCTAATCAGCTCAGACCTCATTTCATTTTTAAAGATTAGGATTTTGCTCTGGAATTTAAGGCTTAAGTGTGTTCGAATGAAAATTACAGACTATGGGATGTATTTTTAACAGAAATATTCTGGAAACAAATGTATTTACGAATGTAAAATGTTGAATACAGCAGATTACTGGCAACCACTGCTGCCAGTATTTTGACATACATTTAACAGATATTTTACACAATAAGAGTTTGCTAATTAACACTTTCTGAGTGTTAAACATTTTAACACTTTTAAAAGTGTTATTTTAACACTTAAAGTGATTCCCATATAAACACTGAGGGAGTGTTAATTTTAACTCTTAGGTAGTTAAATCTACCAAATCTAAAATTTGCAGTGCGAGTTCGATAAAAAATACAGACTGTTGAATGTGTTTTAACAGAAATATTCTGTAAACTGAATTTATGAATGTTAAAAACAGCAGATTACTGGCAACCAGAGATGCTGGTATTTTTCGTAAAATCTAAAAGTGAAAAAAAAAAAAAAAAAAAACAGCAAAACGGTTTTTGTGTCACCATTGTGGAGGATAATAGCGTCTCTGTTCAAGTCCAAGATGAACTGAGAAAATTTGATGTTATGCTGCATCTTCTTTTGTTTAAAGGAAACTGTGTAGTTATTAATGCTGTCAAAGTCTGTTTGCTAATTGCAATCACACATGAAAACATTATTGCATCTAAAGACTTCACATTTTTGTCCACTAAGCTATGATTTTGTAAAATGAACAATGTTTAGTCAATGTTCATGAAATATGGTTATTTTTAGTAAATTTATACAGTTATATAAAACTTCCATGTTTTTCACAGAAAGATTCTGGCAACCACATCTGCTGCTATTTTTTCGGAAATTTAACAGATATTTTACACAATAAGAGTTTGCTAATTAACACTCTCTTGGTGTTGACAATGTTAACACTTTCAAAAGTGTTATTTTTAACACTTATAGTGGTTCCCATATAAACTCTGAGGGAGTGTTAATTTTAACTCCAAGGTAGTTAAATCTACTATCTAAAATTTGCAGTGTGATGTCTTTGGGATTCACTCGCTTGTGAGTGGAAGTTGTCCTGGGTTAACGGGGTGACAGACTCTGCTGAAAGTCGGTTTGGAGAAGTTTTTTTGCAGTTTTAATGGTTACAAAACTTTAGGAGGTTGCAAGGAAGGTTCTTTGCAACCCAACTGGATGGCGGTGCAGTGTCAGAGAGCAAGCCGAGAGGGGCAGAGAGCAGCAGTGAGAATGAGCGAGCTAATGCAAAAAGCGAAGTTTTACTGTTGCAGTAGGTTTTTAAGTGATTTGGTTTGGTCCATTCTAATGGCACTATCTTCCAATGAGCAGTTGCCATGGAGGGCGGGCCCACGCCCTATACCATTACAGGTAGCAGGTAGTAATCGGCCTGAGCTCAGCTCCGACTGGGAATCGGCGAGTGTTATCCGGGCCGAGTCTGGCCCGCTCTCGCACATGCGTTTGGGATGCAGCTGTTAAGCACTGGCCCGATTCTGGTCAACCACATCTGGCCCGAGTCTGTCTGTAGAGTCCGGGCCGCTTCTGGCAAGGACTCGGCTTGTTCAACTGATGACAACCGATTCAATCCTTAATTTATCTAGTAACTTGTTAGTTTAATGATAATTTGAGAAAATATCCACGGTACGACAGCAACAAAATCATAAGAATACTTAGTGTGGATGGTCAAAACAATATTATTTATAAATTAATGAAACATATTATCCAGGGAAAACAGTGTATAATGCGCTTGTTTTCGAGATAGGACGCTCCTATGCCGATTGTTTTGTAAAGAAGTTCGGTTCTATAAGAAATATATGGGTTAGTAAAAACTCCTGATCCAAACTCTAATCCAGGTGGTGGCGGTAGAGCTAGACTACCCTAGACTAACATCAAAGAGGTAGTAACATAAATGAAGGACTTCGAAAAGCTTACAGCACCTGGTATTGCCAGGCGGTCTCCCATCC